AGATGGCAGCGGCAGAGCCCGAGCTGGGACGAAATCGTGTTTTGTCTGCCTTGAATGCCAGGGCATTCGGTATTGTGCTTGTCGGTCCTGTGATCTGTATCTAGACTGCGGCTCCGCCAAGGTCAGGAGAAGAAAAAGGAACGTGGGAGCTTTGCCGTAGTGGATTTGGCCTCCCGTGCTCCTGCCTCATCCCTTGGCAGGGACCTCCGCGCGATGGTGGGAAAGTGCCCCGAAACACCAGTGGGGTCGGGCCAGGCCGGCTGCCGCTTTCTGCCCCGAAACCCCGCACGTGGGGGGGGCTCGGCCGTGGGCCCGTTCACATGCCCGAGTGCTGTGGGAGGAGGTTTGGGTGAGGAGCTGCGAGGCAGGGAAGGAGCTCGGGGTCTCTGCCGCGCGCCGGCCTGGGCTGGCCGAGGTGATGCCAGCGGATCCTCCATCCGCTCGGCCCCAGGGCTCTGCTCGGCCGCATCTCGTGCTGCAGCGCACGGGGGTCGCTCCCGTTTCGTCTGGGATAGAGTTAATTTTCTTCCTAGTAGCTGGTAGAGTGCTCTGGTTTGGATTTAGGATGAGAATAATGTTGATAATACCCTGATGTTTTAGCTGTAGCTAAGTAGTGTTTATACCGGTCAAGGACTTTTCAGCTTCCCATGCTCTGCCCATGCACAAGGAGCTGGAGGGGCCACGGCCAGGCCAGCTGGCCCAACAGAAACTGGGGGACGTTGGCCAGGGGGCAGCGATCGCTGCTCGGGGATGTGCTGGGCATCGGTCGGCGGGTGGTGTGCGATTGCATTGTGCATCACTTATTTTTGTATAGCCTTTTACCATTATTATTATTTTCCTTTCCTTTTCTGTCCTATTAAACTGTCTTTATCTCAACCCACGAATTTTCCATTTTTTCCCCTTTTTTTCCCAATTCTCTCCCCCATCCCACTGGGAATGCTCCGCAGCCCTTGGAAATCCCATCCTGGAGTGCCCTCTAGCGAGAGCACCGCCCGCCCGGCCCCGGCCCCTCCTGCCCTGCCCCGCCGAGCTCCCGGGGGATGCTCCGGGATGCTCCTGGCTGCTGCCACACCCGGGGGATGCTCCGGGATGCTCTGGGATACTCTGGGATGCTGCTGCACCCGGGGGATGCTCCCAGACGCTCGGGGATGCTCCGAGATGCTGCCGCACCTGGGGGATGCTCTGGGATGCTCCGGGATGCTGCTGCACCCGGAGGATGTTCCGGGATGCTGCCACACCCGGAGGATGCTCTGGGATGCTCTGGGATGCTGCTGCACCCAGGGGATGCTCTGGAACACTCCGGAACGCTCTGGGATGCTGCCACACCCAGAGGCTGCTCTGGGATGCTCCAGGATGCTGCCGCACCCAGGGGATGCTCTGGAACACTCCGGGATGCGACTGCGCCCTGGGCGCATCCCGTTCTTGGCAGGGATGGCCCCCGAGGCCCGCCTTGGTTTTCTGGTTGCCCATTGCTTGCCCTTTCCTAGGGCCCGGTTCCCCCTCTGACTTGGGCTGTCGGGGAAGGGAGAGGTTACGCCTCTCCTCGGATGTGCTCTGTGGCCCGAGCAAGTGAGTCGCAGACGGGAGTTACCAGCGTTAATCTTTGCAGTGTCACTGCAAAGGTCGGGAAAGGTATTATGAAACCATCTCTCTCCCCAGCGTTTGCCGCACGTCGTCACTGGCACGCCTAAGCCTTCGTGTGAATAGTTCTGTTAATTCCCAAAGTTTGCATTTTTCACAATGCAATGGCAGAGAATAATTTACCTTTTTACCGATGCATGGGCCCGCTTGAAACTGAGGAAAACATGATAAATAGAGTGGCGTAAAAGACAGCGACAGAAAAATGTTCTCGTGAAACACCTCGCACCTTCTTTTCTGGAGGAGATAAATGTCGTGTGGATAAAGTGCTTATTACAAGCTCTTAAGGAGACTTATATAGCAGCGAAATATGGATTCACGTTTTATCGGTGTGCTGATCTCCCCGGGCTGTCCCCGCGATCCCCTGCTGAAAGGCCGCTTTCACCGGGGCACGGTGCCATCCCTGTGCCCCGTGCCGGGGCTGGCGGCGGGGACCCCAACCCCGGTCCCCACGGGGGAGCGAAAGGCCCCGCTGCGGAGGCGCAGAGCGGCAGGAGCGGAGAAACAAAATGAAAACCCACAAAAGATCCATTTCTGAGCTAGAAATGGAAGCGCTGGCTTGCTGCGCCGTGCCCAGAAAAGCTCGGCAGCCAGAAATAGATGTTCTCCTGCCTAATGAAAGGGCAAGAATGGAAACTCCAGGTGCACGCCTTCCTCTAACCCGGGGCACCGCAGCTTCAAAGATGACAAACGCGGCTGTGTGATACCTGCTCCGCAGCGTGTTATTTCCCGCACCCTCCCTGGGGTGTGGTGACAGCGAGAAGAATCGGGCACGCTGTGTTTCTGGGACATGAGGCCGGGCGGAGGCGCGGCTGCCAGCCAGCCAGGAGGCAGTTCATTTCCATAGAAAAGAAGGGAAAGTCCATCTGGATGCGGAGCTGTTATCCCTGGATGCAGCTGGCTTCCTGCGAGGATGAGCAGAAGTCGTCTGAGCGAGGTTTTGCATCTTTTTGCAGCCTCTGAGATGCCAGGGATCTTCCAGCTCCAAAATCTTTGGGGCTCCACCTGTTTGCTCCGAAGCGGAGCGCTGCTGCTCTCCCCCTTCCCTGGAAAGCCAAAGCAGCGTGCGAGCCGTGGGTGGTTTCTAGGTCATTCAGTGCCGCGCTGTCTGCCTGCTCCCGGCTCTCCTCCCGGGAGCGATTAGGACAGCCCTTGGCAGAGCCACCCGGACCGGTGATCCGCAGGGAAAGGGCTGCAAGAGCCCGAAGGATCCCTTCTCGGGGTATTTGCCACCCGCATGCTTGCAGAGGTGATGGAGGATGTTATTTACGTAACCCACAGTGTTTGAAAAGAGGCAAAGCCAAGACAAATAGTAACTAAGCAAGGCCGGGTGCCTGTGATTACAGCCTCCCGGGGCTGGGGACCACCGTGCTGCCACATCCAGCTCTCCTCCTGCACTCGCAGATTGGCCCTGTTATGGACCCCAACTGGGAGAGGCTGGGCGCTTGGGCAGGGTGGTGCTAGGCTGGACATGGAGAGGCTGGACACCGAGAGGCTGTACATCAAGAGGCTGTACATCGATAGCTAGGCTGTACATCGATACCTAGGCTGTACGTCGCTGCCTGTCCCTGAGCCACTGCGTTTCTGCGGTGCTTAGCCCGCCGAAGCCCTGGGCCGGGGCGGGGGGTGATGGCGGTGCAGCGGACAGCCTGTCCAGCTCACCGCGCGGATGGAAGCTGCTGGCAGGTCTTTTTTTGACCAGGTCAGCATCCTCTCTGCTCTGCAGAAATATGTCTGCTGACTATGCCAAGCAGTATTTGGCAGCCAGGGCCACCGGTGTGACTGACAAAGTCAGGTTATCTCCTCAGTGTTTGATTTGCAGCCGGTGTCGCTGCCAAGCTGGGTTGGGTGCCAAGCTGGAAAACACCACTCGAGGCATTTTCTCAATTGCTCATCGTAAAGAGCAAGTGGAAGCAGGCTCTGCTCTTGCACTGCTCTGGTATCTTCCTGCCCCAGGGCCCCGCAGGTCAGGGGCTTCACAGCCCACGCTGGTGCCGGCGCGGTTCAGTCCTGCTGCTGCCGCCCCTGCCGGCGGCTCTCCTTCCTCCGGGCGGTGGGTGGAAGGGAGGGGGGTCCTCGCTGGGCACAGCGGGGGTGTGCAGCCTTCACAATGCAGGGATGCTGCTGATTCCTCCGCTCGTGCGCCCCAGTTCCCTCATCCAGCAAGTGGGGGGGGCTGTGGAAATACGTTGTTCTTCGCCTGGCGCAGCTCCATCGCCTCTGCAGCAGAGGCAGCTCGCTCCCGCTGCTGGCACCCACGCCAGCCGCTGCTCCTGCAGCATTCGCGTCTCTCTTTTCTCTGCGCGGTCCCTGGCAGAACCCAGGCAGCCGTTTTGAAAGGCGGCGATGCTGTCGCTCCGGCTGGTCTTCTGGATCGGCGGGGGGGGGGGGGGCGACTGGCGGGAATGGGGAGAGGGAGGAGGAGTTCAGGCTGCCGCGAGCGGTGCTGCAGAGCGGCTCACGCCACCGCGCACGCTGAGGATCTCCTTATGTAAAATTCATCTGCAGAAATCAGCTCTGCCACTTCACGTGGCGGGAAGTCGGCTGCTCGTTTCTGCTCGCAGCAGACGTAGGCGACAGGATGTTGAGGTTCTGCTTGTGCTTCAGCCTCTTGGCCTTTGGCTAAGCTTTGATAAGTGTCACTCCATCCTCTCGTGCTCGGTGTCCGCCGCACAGCGGCAGGGAGGTTTGCAGGGCTCCTTGGCCCCCGGGCCCCGGCGGTGTGCAGGGCAGCGCTGCGCTGCGGCCGGGCCCTTATCCCGCGGCCCAGACACGTGAGTTGTTCCTGCCGCTGACCTGCGGTGGGAACTGGCAGCTGCAGCCGAGCCAGAGGCGTCTTTGGGGCAGTTTGAAAGCGTTGTGGAAGGGGGGTAAGAGATTTTCTTTGACAGAGGCCAGCTAATAAAGGCGTGCAGCAATGATGCATATATTTAATAACACCAACAGATGGAAGCTTGGAAGAAAGGATCCCTGTAGGGAGGTTATTTGAGATCCTCCACAGTGAGGAGCGAGCCCTTTGAAGCACCTGATAGAGGCGGGTGTTAGAGGTAGCCAGACCAGATGGATGGGTCTGGTCTGACCCAGAGGCCTCTCGGCCCATGCGAAGGCATTCCTTGCGCTCGGAGCTGGCTGATGATTCACAGAAAAGCACCGGGCTGTGGTCTCGGCCTGCCACGTGAGCGCATCGTGCGGTTACGGAGGGCCAATGGCGCTTCTTCACAAGGGGCCGGGCTGGTTTTCCAGCCGGACGGTTGTCTGCCCTTTCCCAGGTCATCCCTGGGACCTGCCGCCGGGAGCGGGGTGAGCTAGCCCGGGGCTCTGGGAGCTGCGGGCTCTGCGGCAGCCACCATCCAGAGCCGGTAATGCCGCTGCCTGTGACAGATCTGCTGCCCGAGCCCCGGGCATTCCCCACCGGGCTCCGGACACCGCACGGCTTCAGTAACGTTATGCTCCTCTCTCTAGTAAGCATGTGGGAGGTAATGGATTTGGGAGCGGGAGCCCTCATTAGGGGGAAGATTCCCGAGGGAGGCCAGCATGGCAGTCTATTTCTGCAGCGACTGTTGGCTGTTATTTTTAAACAATAGTTTAATAAATAAATAAACTTGCTGCCACGGAAGGATATAGCATCAGCCAGGGCTGCTGAAGTCGGTATTTCCTTGGAAAATGGACGGGGCAGGTGTTTCCCTCTGCCCTGTCTGACTCCTCGGAGCGACCTGCTCCCCCTGGCTCTGGGCAGCCCCCCCTGCCCTGGGAGCTGGGCAACCCCGGGGGCCACTGGCCCTGTGGGGCAGCTCCGGGCCAGCCTGGGGTGGAAGGAATCTGCCGCCCCGCCGGCTGTGTTACGGCACAGGTGCGGCCCCCATAAATGTAGGATAAAGCGGGGGGGGGGAATCTGGTTTCGCAGCCCCCATAAAGGTGGGATAATGCGGGGAGGGGGGGAATCTGGTTTCACAGCCCCTGCCCTCTTGCTTGGAGGGTTCCCTTCGGCGTGGAGGGG